GAACGCTCTCGGGAAGCAAGTCCCGGCACCAGTCGAGTGACCATGTCAGATGCCTCGAAGACTGAATCTGATGTCTGAAACCCCGCCTGGCACTAGGAACCCTCAGGGACCTAGAGCCCTCTCAGGTTGGAATCCGGCATTTATTGCTTGGCATCCAAAGTCCACTAGAATCTGCAACGAATGAATCTTTTATAAACAGTTCAATGTTTGAGAGAAAGACAGACCTTAACTGATTGACAGTTGTAGTAGCCACTGAAGACATGAGCTGAAATATGAAAACATTTGTTAGTAAATTATGTGGAATAACGTAAGTAAACTGCCATAGATATTTTTATTAACATCTAAAAGCAAGAAGGTCTCTATCTTCTGCACTTAAAAGTTATTAAGTTCAATAAACATGAAGTTAATAAAGCCTTATTATACTGAACTTCATAATATTTTATACAGTACATATACTCTCATGAGAAGTTAAATAATGTTGAAAGTGATAGGCAAGATTTAGGGAGGGAAAGCTGAGAATTCTCTTTACAATGTAAAGAATTTTCATATCTTTCTGAGTGCTGCTGCATTAACCTTGATCTGATGTATTTCTGATACTATTTGATATAATAAGTTTAAAGCCCTACAGTGCAGTTAAAAGATATTGCTAAATATTTATAATGTCTAAATTCTTGTTCATCCATTGTGACTCTTGGGTGGGAAAATTCTCATCTTCAAATGGATATATAGATAAAAAAAAATGTTTTGGTGTGCAGATAATTTACAGTAGAAAATGGTGCACATTTTAGCAACCGATCGTTATTTGTTTCCGATTCGGTAACACTGCAACGTCCAGGGAATGATGGTAATTAATTTTTAAGATTAAGGTTTTCTGTGATGCCTCACATTTGAGGAGTGGAGAACATATAGTCAGGTTGTGTTAAAGAAATTCCTTATCAGGCTTTGTCAGTTCTAGTTATAACAAAGGATAAAGAATGCACTCAATGAACACAATAAACACTTGTTTTGGTTACTCCAAAACATTCATTCATGTACAACATTTAGCTCTAAGAATCATTTTGGAGTATTGATCTTACTGCATTTTATAATTTGTTATAATATATAGATTTCCTTTTTTATCAGTAGTAAACAGTAATTGATGATAACTGATAAGGGAGTTCTTAGAGGCAATCTTAGAGATGTAGTTACTTGTTAAAACAACGGCTCAAAGGTTTAGTTAATGTTTGCAAACATTATCACTAAGATGAAATTAAGGCAAGTAAATTTCATCAAGTACTCTCATATATAGCATCCATTGTTTGAGTCACTAACTAAGCATTTTGGTCATAATATACAAGAACTCAGGAGTTTCTCTAGTCTCTCACATATGGCTCTCTCAACTCTGTGAATAATATGTTTACTACTGGATAAGGTTACACAGCATTTTCTTACAATATTTAAGTATTTGTAATTTGTAGTCATGAAGATTACAGTAAAGGTTATAGGATCTCAGTAGTATTTGACATCCAAGTAGGGGGTCTGAGTCACTGCAGTAGATGAGCAAAAATTATGTCCATATCACAACATAATTTGTGATGTCAGACTCTTACTGATGAACACGTCACTAATATTAGCAACAGTTTGAAGTACAGTACCATGTTTGAAGACAAGGTGGTTATATCATAATCATAAAGAAACCTTTCATAATTTGATCAACAATTGGTTAACAAAAGTCAAGTAAGTATTGGTTGTTGGTGACTTAGCAAAAGTTTACTACTTATGGTGAGCTGAAAAGTGGTTGTGAGTAGCTTTAATGTTTAAGAAGAAGATGGCAGCATATTATGATTGTGATAGTCTGTGATGCTCTTAAGTATTGCAAAGATACTCTACATGCTCATTCATTAAAGAAAAAATTCTATTAAATAGCCTGTGTCTTGCCATTTATTTTGAAAGTTTACATCTACTTAGCAAAGCCTCTTGTGCCAATTGAATTACAGTGTTCAGAATTTTTCATGAAACTTCAGCCAGAGTGATAGCTCTAATATTTTATCTGCAAGTATATAGTATGTGTGTGTGGGGGGGGGGGGATATACTTGAGTGCACATGTGTGGAATTGTGTATGCATGCATGTGTGTGAATTGTGTTGTACTTTATTGCCAGAATTTGCTGGCTTGGTGTAATTAATAAAACTCAGTTATTTTGCTAGGCAAGAAGAGCATATTAGCTTGGCAAAAAGATCAGTCAAAATGTCACAAAACTAGTGAACCATGTTTCATTGATGTTAAATTTGGATTATGGCAAGTAAGATTAATTTATATTAGGTGAATTCTAGTAAGTTTAGGTTAGGCTAGGTTGCTAAGTTACTTTTGGTGCAAGATAAAATTTTTTATTTCATATTTATTAATTTGAATATCAGTTCATAAGAAAAATTTGAAACATATTATTTCAAAGAAAATTCTGTGTAATATATTGCATTGGGCTCTAATGACCCCTAGGAACTCGACCACTATTACAGTAAATCACCATGCAGCAATTGTAAAATGTAGGTGGGAATGAATGTGCATTAATAGATCTAGCCATTCTAAAATCTAAGCTGAGAGCTTTAGAAACCTAACTGCCCATGAGCATGTCAGGGCAAAATGCCTAAGCTGGCAGTAAAAATGTACAGCTTTCTTTTAGTTGGCACAAAGACTAGGATCATTTCATGCATACCCATTCAGTGGAGAAACTAGTCACCCAGCTAGCACACTTATGTAGTACAGTGTAAAGTGCATTTTCCTATCTCCTGAGTCAGCCACCCACTCCCATCTAGCTTGATTGTGCATTGGGGGAAACCTCCCTACTCCAGTAAACCACACTTGTCCTGTTCCACAATTTTGTGGTTGTTAAGTTGGTTTGTCCCTTATTACTTTGATAGTAAGGTTCTCACTACATGTTCTAGTGTGGGGTAGCTTTTTACTTAATGGCCTTATCTGTCTAGGGGTAATACTTACATCATGGCTGATCATCTTGAGTGTCTGATATCCTCTCACCAGCCCTCTTCACAGGTTATGTAAACTACTACTATAAAAATATAACTGTATTCTCAATAGATATGTACAGAATATACAATTACAGCCTCACACTTTAAAAACAAAGATCTACACACTCCATAGCTGTTCTCCCACATGGTGTATCTTATTAACTTTTGTCCTTCTCTCTTCTTGACATAACTCTGGGCTAACCAGTGTTTTGACACACTTTAGTCACCCTGGGTATGGTGGCCACAGCTTAAATTATAAAAACTCACCCCTGGAGCACACATACTGCCCCAAAAGATAGAAGAAGAACCCAGAGATCCTGCCAGGTTGAAGGTCAGCCACAGAGAGAGAGAGTCGAGAGGGAGAGAGATAAAGACTAGCTAAGCTCCTCCCACCAAAACAAAAGACTGTTGCCAAGCACAATTCTCCAGTTACCACAATTCTACCACCCTTAATTTTACTTTTACAAAAAGAAATACAATTTTATAAACTACGTACTTATTTAAATTGTGTGTTTATGCGTCTATAGTATAACCTATTATATTGAGAAAAATAGGCTTGACCAGCTGCCTCTCAGTCATAAGGTTGATCAGCCCTTATGACATTTAGAACTGAGTCCCCATCAATTCAATATAATTAGGTATTCCAGAGTAACTGTTACTTATAAATACATGTTGGGTCCTATAGCCCCATAACAGTGGTGGGTCTTGCATCCTTACCTCATCTCCTACCTGGGAGCTGGCATCCTCCAGGCACCTTGATCATTTTTCTCTCTGACTCTCTCCATGATCTCTGCCATCTGCATCTCACTGCTGTGCATCCTCCTCCAACACTGGTCTACCCTATAGTACTGCCTGTCCATGGGTACAGTCACGTTGTCTCCCAGTAACCAGTTGCATAGGTAACTTGTCTTTATCTTAGGGGTGTATTGAAATATTGTAGGAGAGTCTTGGAGAGTACTTTTGCCAGAAGGTTGCCTTCTTTCTGCTTAATCACATAAATTGCAACCTCTGCTCGTCTATTAGACTGAGGATAGTGACACCCCTTGGCAGTTTTTGAAAAAAAAAATTATTTCATCACTAGAAAAGGTAATACCTCCATTCATAGAGATTTCTTCAGGAGTCTTGCCTCTCCCACCTGGTAAAATAGGCACCCAACTTCAGGAGAAGGACAGCTGATGAGTCATTGGGAAAGTATGGCACCTCCACCCAACATGTCAGCCTGTCTGTATAAGCCATTTACACTTGGCAGTTAAGTTGGACATGTGCATTTCACAAGTCTCACACAGTGATCAGTGTTACTGAAAATCAGCTTCCAGTCCCAGGCTCTGTGTTGAATGTAGCACTGAGCAGCAGAATCTGGGATTACCAGATGCACTCACCCTTGTGTGTACATGTAGGTTACCAACTCATCCACAATGGCCAACTTTTCCCTCACATTGTAGAAGGGCTTGGGACTGGGCATCTCTTGGGCCTGGCCAGTGGACCAGTCCCATGTCCTTACTCTTTTGATTAACAGTTGATATTTAATATTAGCCACTGTTACACTCACCACCATGTTCTAGTTCAACACTACTCCATCCTCCACTGCTAGTGTTGCCAAAGGGGCCACCACTAGCTCCTCATGTTGCAGATAGTCCCTACTTTCCAGCACAGGATAACTGGGGAGAGGGTCCACTGCAGTGTTTTCCCAGGAAGGTATCTGACACAGAATTGGTATTAAAGTGTCTTCTTGAAGAGAAAGAGCCTTCAGTTTGCTGGTAATCAGTAACTAAGGTGAGGGATAGGTGGGCCTTCCTCAAGCACTAGACTACTGTCCAGTCTTTTTTATTTCCTTTTTGTGGTACTAAAATAATGTAGTTTACATGTAATAAAACATTGGTAAGCATAAAAGAAAGCCAGTAGTGTGCCCTCAGCTGACATCAGATGGTGGCTTTCACATAGTGCCAGCTGCCTGAGCAGCAGAATGGCTTTTTCAACCAAAGTGCAGCAGCAATATTGCTGCAGGGCTACAAACCCAGTGCTCTCTCTACTCCAGTCAGTGATGGCCACTGTTGGTTGGGATTTGTCATAATATACTAGCCTATTCTTTGCCACCTGCCAGATTGTGTCTTCAGAATGTTCAGATTTCTGTTGCAGCTGCTGGCTCCAGTGAACCTTTTTCCCATGTGTTTCTTGAGGAGATCCCTGAAAGGTTGCCTGACAGATGTCTTGGCAATGAATGTTTAAGTTGGTTGATTCATTCATGCCATGACCTTATTTTGGTGATGAGTTAACTCAGTATTGGGAAATCTCTGATGGCAGCCAGTCTGTTTCCTGTGGGTTGGTATCCCTCCCATTCTAAATGAAATCTTAAGAATTTCACCTCTTGCTGGCAGAACTTGAACTTTTCCAGGTGTAACACTTCTCCATTCTTGCTGCAAGTCCCGAGGAAGCTCCCTATGTACCAGAATGACTTTGGAAAACTGACATCATAGAATAGGGAGTTGTCTGTGCACATATGTTTATTGGCTATACCCTCATTAAGATCATTGAACCTCTTTGTATATGCATATGAGGCAAAACAATGACCCATTGGGGTGTGGTTGTAATGGTACTTCCCCATAGTGTGATCATTGTGAAAGACTGGCTTGATTCATTCATTTCCACCTGGTGAAACCCCTGATATGCATTGGCTACTGTTTTTACATGTGGAGGGAACACTGGACACCATGTCAAATGGTGCTGGTGTGTGGTGAGTTTTCCTTCTTGCAACTGGTATTAGGTATTTAAAATATACAGTGCACCAGAGTTGATCAGTCTTCTTAGGGACCACCACCATTCAATGGCCTCACCTTGTAGTACAGATCATGTTACCCCTCATCACACATCATCCAGGTGCTGCTTGACCTTGGTCTTCCAGTACTTTGGTACCAAGGCAGGTGTATGGTTAAATGCCAGACACTAGGTGTACAGCATGTGGTGGGGTTCTCCCTTCACCAGCATTGATTCTCTGGAGATGCTGAATGTTATAGATAAAAAAAATGCCACTTAAATCATTTGACAGCTTGGGGAATTTGCTTGCTATACTAGCAGCAGGAAAATAGAAGAACATGAATCACCACCTGCTACATACTGCCCCTCTCCCAGGATTGCAGGTATGGAGGACATGTGGTCAGGAAATTTCTGATTTATCAGCCCCAGGTCTCTAGTGACAGGCACAGAACCTGCACACCCTCAGCAAAGTGCTTCCTGTCCTTGATGATCCTGCAGCCCAGCTCTAGTACATGCACTACCATGTCTAGCACTTAACTTTGCCTCCTGTAATGTGACAGGTCAAAAGTTGTTTGCAGTTGTTGTGCATTGAACATCTCCAGTATTGGAAATATAAACACACATGCAGTATAATGTGATCCTTTATTGACAATGTTTTGCCCACATAGTAGGCTTTTTCAAGTGACTTGAAAAAGCCCACTGTGTGGGCAAAACGTTGTCAATAAAGGATCACATTATACTGCATATGTGTTTATATTTCCATTCTGTCGGTATTTTATACCATTTATTTCCATCTCCAGTATTCCCAAGTGTTCCATGCCCGCCCACCCGTCTGTCTGCCCTACCTACCTACCTCAACACTTGTATTGGATGTCAGGATGACTTTTGAGAGGTGATTACAGCTACCATTAAGCATGGAAGGCTAATGTTAAAAGATTTCTTGCTTCAAAGTAGGATTGCTCACCCCTGCAATTTTGGTATGTAGCTGTCACAATCTAATTTGCTTTGTTGTCATCTATTCACAAATACCCTCAGGTTCAGATCGATCAATCGATCACTGTACCACATTCTTGTATTAGCTTGAAGAATCTGTCCTACATGATGGCAGTGATGGGAGCATTGTGCACAATGCTTCCTACACCATCCACTGGCATTTTCTGGCTGTAACACTTTCCACTTGGATTTTGGGAATTTGGCATTAAATTTCCCTTTTCAGTAATGGAGGCTGGGTTAGCTACCCTGGATAACCCAATGAAGTCAGTGTGCTTTATTTCCATTGGAGTCCTTAAATATTCTTCTTCAGGATGATGCCCACAACAGTCAACTAACACCCAGGTACCTGCTTACTGCTAGGTGACCAGGGACAACAGGTGTAAGGAAAAATGCCCAACATTTCCACTCATGCCAGGAATCAAACCACAGATACTCATTGTGTGAGCTAAGTGTACTATCAGCTGAGGCACTGGCTCAAGCAGGTGGTTTGCCATTTGGCCAGTACTGTGTTGCCCCTCCTCCTCTTGTTTTAAAAAACACAAGCCATACAGCAGGCATTCATACACCTGTAAAATCACACAAATGGATCAGGTTTTTGCACTGGGGAATCTTGCAGGATCATGATTACATGCAGATTCCCACCACAACCACAATGCTGGCACAGTGTAGCAGTAGTTATAATTTAATATCTTTATTATGCACCCCATACCCATCCTGTGGGAAATAGTCAAAAGATTACAGAGGTACATAATGCATCCAGGGACTGGGCTGCAAAGTTTTGATAACTGAACACATTACATTGGTAATGAACTATTTGCATGATTATATCTGGTTACAGTCATAATGAATTATTTATGCAGACATGAATTAGGTCACACGCACACACACGATGTTTAAGTGGTAATGCATTATTTACAGTGGAAAGAGTCTGTATTTTTCCAGAATGGTTGGTAATGTACCACTGTGGATAAAATACTCTGACATTTCTTGAACATTTATGAGTGAGTTGTCTCTGAATTCATTAATTTTATCGCATTCCAGAACATAATGATGCAAGGTGTGACAGTCAGTGGTAGGGTGATAAAAAAAAATGACCAGTAATCCTCCACTGCAATAAGAGGAAAGTTGGTGACATTAACATGATTGAATGATGGTTGGAGTCTGGGGCATTGCTAGGTGCCCACTCAACACCAAAAATAACTTGCTAACTACCTTCAAAAGTGATGATGCTGTGCTGAAAGTGATCATGTGTGCTGTCAGCAGTAACAGCCTGGTTGATCAGGCCCTGATCCACCACAAGGCCTGGTCATGGACTGGGTCATGGGGGCATTTACCCCCAAAGCACCCTCCGAAACATACTCCAGGTATAATATGTTTATAATTATACACCAAAGGTAACATGGTAAATCTTTCCTAACATGGCTATAATTAATGTAATATAATTTAATTAAATCCTGCTCAATTTATCTTGCATCAACTTAAATTTAGTTTGTATTATTTGATATCAATGAAAGATGACAATTTTGTGTTGTACAGATTTATTTTCACAAACTTAATACAACAGAAAATTTACACAATACTTGTTGGGGAAAAACAATCATTGCTTTATAAGCCAGGTAACAGTCAGTCTTTGCCTAAAAACCACAGTACAACATGAAGAGGATTGGGAAGGTATCACTGGCCAGTTCTTAGTTAAGTTGCTGGAGCTTTCAAAATATGTATGGTAAATTAATGAGTGTATCAGGTAAGTGGGAATAGGATTCATGTAGAATATTGACTGATAAAATCTTTGAACACCTGGGGAAGCAAATGGTCTTGGGATAATTGTAAGTAATAGATTTTCATAAAGGGTCCAGTTGTGAACCTTATGCATTTTTGCTACAATATATTTTAAGATAGCTTTCATATACAGTACTGTAATTTCTTATTTACTTGGACTAATGTGTGCAGAGAGGTGTCCAATTCACATCATACCCTCAATATAGTTAAATGTCTCCAGTCTGGTATTCCGTATTCCAACACCACCCATAATGAAGTGAAGATAGTCACTGCAATAGTACACATGTATTACAGACACTATTTACAAAGACTTGCAACATTGTACACATTCAGAACCTGCATAAATACCAAGCTTACCTGATGATTCTATACCTGAGCCAAATTTTGAGCATCTCACTGCATTGTACCAGCTCCTATGATGGAGGAAATGGCATACTATCTTTGTATTTCCCATTGTTGCACTCTCATCTTGGATTTTCTTTGACTCTGAACTCCTTGACTTATATTGAATTACCCTCATATTCACATGAAGATAGAGAATTCAAATTCAAATTCAGAGCTGGTATTCACAGCACTTATAAGGTTCCACAGCATCCTTTGTTCTTACACATTCAAAAGTTTTGTTTTATTCTGGACCTGTGCCAGTAGATGGCACAATGCTCTTGGCTCTTTTTTTTTTTTATAATTTGCATGCCATGTTTTGGTGAAGCATGCAGAGTTATATGGAGATAAATACTGGGCATATACTTTTTGTTATGGGACTATGGGACCCAACACATATTGTTGTACATAAGTAACAGTTACTCTGGAAATACCTAATTATATTGAATTGATGGGGACTCAGCTCTAAATGTCATTAAAGTGATCTGCCCTTATGACATTTAGAGCTGAGTCCCCATTAAGTCAATATAATTAGGTATTCCAGAGTAACTGTTACTTATATAAAACAATATGTCTTGGGTCCCATAATCCCATAACACTTTTATACAAAAATATGCTCTAGTTAGTTTTCATTTCAAGTATTGTGGTGTCCATACTATAATTGTCACAAATTGTTCAGTCTACAGTTAGGTTTTCTTGACTTTCGTATATCTCATTTTCTGGCTTACAAAATTTGTAGTTTAGCATCTATCTAGCCCATTTCTTGCCAGACTGGAGTATGATAGAAATATGAATTTTCTCTCTTTGGTAACAAATGTTGGAATTATAAAGATTTTTCAAATAGAAAGTAAGAATTTCTACTTTTATTCAGTAGTGGCTGGGTGAGAGTAAGACTTGTCTAGCATGAGCCAGTTGGCCTGCTACAGTGCTCCACTATTCTTATGTTAATTCTGAATGTCAGAGAATGTTCAAAATTCAAAATTTCAGAAAGCATTATTATTTGGAAAAAAAAAAATGAAATTATGAATTAATGCCATACTGTGTGGTAAATTCATGCTCTTATCTAGAACATTCCAAATTTCTGAGGTCATTCCAGAATATAAAAAAAATAGAAAATATCTTTCCATAAGAAAATCATGAACTGGAGATAAGTGTCAGAATAAATTTTTGCTTGTTTTTGAAATGTTCTGAATTTCCAAGATAATTTTTGGGTAAAAAAAGGTTAAAATTGCAAATTTGGTTGTATGAAAATAAAATGAATATTAGATTTCAAATTGAGAGAAATTATTTTACTGTATATGAATAGCTGACTGTTAAAGAAATTATTTACAATATATGTTAACATAAAATTCAGATATGCAGTAGAAGTGTAGCATGTGCATATGTATAAATGCAGACAAAATATATTACAATACACGCCGGGTCACCATCTGGAGAAGACCCCGGTCGGAAGTACCGGCAAATCCCTAATGAATGAATGAATTACAATACATCAAGAATACCATAAAATCAATCCAAGAATTAAAAAATGTGATCTACAAAGAAAAACCAATGACTTTCAAAAGTTTTTTGTGACTAAGCCACAAACTGAAGATGGAACTAAATGAAGCTAGTCCATCCAAGATCATTATCAACCCATGAGTGAAAAAAAACAAGTGAAAGCCAAAAACCAGGTCATGTGAAGAGATGTTAAGATGACCACCCTGCTTGCCTTCCCAGTACTATATAATAAATTGTCAAATGTTCTTTTATTCAGAACACACATGACTTGATCTGACCCTCACTTGCCTAACCTCTATTCACTTGACCTGATTTTAGCTATCACCTGACATGATTTCTGGCATTTAACTATTTTCTCTTTCATAACTTGATAATAGTCCAGAATGAACCAAAATGTTATCTAGTTTAATCTCCAATTTGTAAGTTAGTTGTGAATTGTTTCTGCAGCAGCATTGTGACTTGAGAAGCCAATGGTAAATGATTGGAGCAAAAACCACATGCAAATTTATAAATTTATATGAAAAAATTAAACTTAAGTTTTTTTATAGCCAACAACATGGTAACCAAGAGGATACTATTTTAAACAAAAAGGCATGAGATGCAGAGAAGATAATAGAAAATATGGTACAGTACTCGACAAAATGGCAAATTTGCCAAAGTTTATTCAACGAGGAAGTAATGTGTGCTTAAACTTCTGAAAACTTTCAAAATATACAACATATGACTTAAGTTTATTATAGAAAGAGGGACACCATAAGCATAAGTGTATTCAAGTTTATTATAGAAAGAGGGACACCATAAGCATAAGTGTATTCCTGTAATTACTGTTAAGTAAAAATTAAATCAGTAAAAATATTCACATACATGCCTACAGTACATATATACATACATTTGTAGGGGAATTTTGAATTTCAAAAAATATATTATAAATTTTAACTGCGGCATATTGTAAAATGACTTTACCATGAGTAACCAATCTTTAATATTAACCCTTAAACTGTCCAAACGTAGATCTACGTTTTTTCAACATTTGAAAGTATGTAAAAAAAGTAGATCTTTGTTTTTTTTAGATTTGAAAACGTGTAAAAAAACTTTGATCTACGTTTTTTTTTTTCTTTTTTTTTGTTATTTTTTAAAATATGTAAAAGAAACGTAGATCTACTTTTGGAGCACTACGCATGTGAATGTAGATCTGCTTGGACAGTTTAAGGGTTAATAAGTCATTATCACTTCACTTTGATGGTGCATCTGAAACTGAGCATATAGTCCCAATTCCTGTGAAGAGGAGCCATGCTGGAACCTTGTGAAAAGTTGAAATAGTTACCCCTAATACATGTAAAATGCTGGAAGTGTTGCCCTTGAGTCCTGTGCCAGAGTGTATCTGTGCCTTCAGCTTCCCCATCACCTGCAGGGCCTTCATTTCTCTTGCTGTTTTTTATTTTTACCTTCTAATGTTCATCACATTTTGCCCTCTTAACTATGGTTTTTATGATTGTTTATTATGGTGCATCTAAATACTATGAAGCTGCTTCTGTATTCCATCAATAGTATTTAGCATTATTGTTTGCATACCTGCCCTGCTGCTCCTATTAATCCTCATTTATAACTAAATCACAGCAAAGTACAGTACATCATGTATTCAAATTAGCCCATTGTAACAGTTCTTGAAATATGATAGATAATTTTAAAGTCAGAAATGGTAAATTAATCTGGGTGTATTTTTCTTTGCTTTAACTCACTATTGAAATGTAGTAACAATATACCATTAAGCTTGAATTTTCATCTTGACATCTCTTAGCTTACAGATTCATATTGTAATTTATTTCATTGCATACATCATCCAATTTCATTGTTTTTCCTTCAGTAGTTTCAAAACAAATACTGTACCATGTTCTTTTGTTTTTCTATGCAATCAATTCTTTATAATTCTTTTTTCCTACCAAAAATCTTAAAAATATATTCAGAATATTTATTCTCAGACTACTGTACATGTACCCAGCTCTGAATTAATCATGCCATGAAAACTAAATTGCACAAAACAAAATTTGGAAATGGTGATCCTCATGCTGTTGACTTTCTTCTCAAACTATGGATTTTTGTAACTACTGTATTTAAAAATAAATTAGTTTTAAATTTCTGTTAAAAACAAGGTCTTTAATTCTTGTAATTGCTTTTGTAGAACCCTCATATGTATTAGGTTAGCCTTAAGACTTTTATCATTTTTTACCTTTTGTCCTGTTATTTACTTAAGAATTACATGCTTTTTCTTATACCCTTGAAGCTAGTGATTTTGTAACTGTTGCTGGGAACCTTTACTATGCTATTGGATGCAGTTATCTTGACCTAAAAGTTGTCTAAAGTCAAATCTCCAGAGTTCTTGGCCATTTTTTTTATACAGTTAGATCCCTTGGTCTCCTCAGTACATTGCTGTTATTATGTTAGATGACCCTGACTTTCACAAAACTTATGATTTAAACTACCATAGTTAGGGACCTTTGGCATTCTCTACTTGATCCCTTTGAGTCTTAATCCTTCTCCGACTTACTGTTGGAACCCTTAACTTCCTCCACCATACCCCTGGTTGCCTTGGACCCACCTGGGTCCTGTACATAACTATGTGACCACCAGGTTGTGAAATACTTGGGTCACACATTTGCCCCTGTCCTGGCAAGATGAGACATGTACCTGTCCCTGCTAACTGCATAGATATTGTCACTGTTTATATACATATTTAACTGTCACTGGTGCACTAGCAGTGTTAGTTAAATGGCAGTTTGTATATACTTGTATATATAGCCAAGAAAGGTGCTTCTCTAAGAATTGTGCTCCAAGCACAAGTTGGTCATACAGTACTTAGGAGTTACAACGACAGGTCAGAAGTAAGTTGGTGCATGTAGGGACAAGTTCTTAGCCATCATTGTCCCAGCTTAACATCATGTTGATATGTTTCAGTACATCTTTATAGTTTAGGCTTAAACACTTGTATATCATAGAGTAATTATAGGCATTGTTTTAAATCTAAAAGTAAATTTATTTACATTGATCAAAGCCAGATAACATTCATGTACTGTTTATTAATTAAGATGCCTAGTTATTTGATATCAGGGACATAAAAAATAACATTGCTTTTTTCTTGAAATCTTGTTCTTTACTCATTAGGGAAAATTTCATTGGAGCCTATATGTTGTTAAATTTTATACATTTATCATTTTGACTCCATCATTTTATGCAAAAAAATATTTGATTATCTCGAGTTAATTCCAATGGTTAGAGGCACACACATTACCAGTTAAACTATGGAAAAGCATAAAAGTATGGTATTGACAGTCATTTAAATATTTACAATGGTCATGTTATGATACCATAGGCATGACTGAGTTTACAGTGATTTGATTATTTCAGATGTGATATTCAGTTGTAATACTTAATGTGTTTATCCCACCCAGAAGACCCATGTTTGATCCTGGAGTACATACCTTTTCATACATTGTTATACAATAGTCACAGCATTGAGAAATTGCAGTACATACTGGACTCAGTTGGGGTGAGGATTTGGGGAGTGCTGGGTATGTTCACTATAATATCTCAAAATATGTTATACCTTAATATATAACTTGATCACACTTAAAAAGATAAATAAATTGTGAGTGTGTCAGTCACATTCATAAGGTGCTCAATGCACTCTATGCTCCTTGAGTGTGGTGGATACATCAGGAAAATGCTTGAAATTTCTTCTATTGATTATCGTTAATAAATACTGGTCACTGGCACAAACAACACCACATAAAAACACTAAAATAGAAGATAAGATGAGCACTATATTGCAGTTTCTCAGTGAGACCCTCTTCAGCAAGCTAAAAAAGGTACATGAGATAGATTTTATACACAGGCAGGCTATGTGACTTAAGGCTTGAGTGGAAACAAGGTGCCCCTAAAGGAAAGTGTAGATAGCTTGGTTTTCGTTGACTATTTTGAGTTGTTTGATGGCTTCGTTAGGCAGGGGTGGTGACTCCACAAATGCTGGGTGGGTTTAGATAAATCAGGGGCTGGGTCACAACATTTTGTTCTAAATAAATTACAATAATTATGAATCAATTTGCAAATTTATTGATTGAGAAACAGGGGGCGTTTACATTTTTAATTGAATTTTGTCACAGAACATGCCTTGGAGATTGTTGAAAGTTAGATAATACATTTTAGCTGGCTTGGGGTTTTTTAAGGCATGCTTAAAAAACGTTTTAAGTTTGACATTAATTTCTAGTTAATTTGTGATTTTAAAAATTTGATGGAAACTGCTTAAACTATCTTGACAACAATACCTAATAAATGTCTCATTTTTTTGTTACTTAATAATTAAATTTTTACTTTTTTTTCAAATTTTTGATTGGTTATAGCGTCCGGGTGATCAAGGTGGTTTGTTTTTGAACCATAGTCACACAATCCCCTATTTTGAAAGTGAATACACTCTTGCTCCAGAGTTTATTTTTTTTTTGGATTTTTTTGTTTTAAAATGTTTAAAAACATTAGCTCTTTTTCCGTTTTGCTTTCTTTTTTCCCTTGTTTGCTCTGTAGCTTTAAAGTATTGACTTTTATTCTGTATGACCCTTTTTGGTTTTTAGTGTTCTTTTTTAAATACAATTAATTTTTGTTGACATTCTTGTCTGAACCTTTCTGGATGCTAAGTGTTGGTTATGCAGTAATGAACTGTTTTTTTGAAATAAGTTGGTAGAATTACCGACAATATGTAAAGTAAAGGACACAAGTCAATAATGTACTTTTATTGTGGCAACTTTCGCTCTCCGGGAGTTTATCAAGCCATTACAAACAATACTGGACACAGGGGTATATAAAGGCTCAGGTGAGGGAAATACTAGTGAGGTACCATATCGATGTTCAAGGGTATGTAGTGTAGTAGTGAAAAAAGTAATACAATATGGTAAGCTTTAAAATTGTACATAGTAAAGGATAAGTAATAGCTTTTATTCCTTTTACTCATGTACAATTAATTGCTCTACCATTTGTATTACTTTTGTCACTCTACTACTACTATCTACTACTACTGATCTATCCCACTGTGAACATCGAAAGGGTCCTCATTTTAAAAATTTGCACCTCATCTGAGCCTTTATTACCCTTCTGTGTCCATGTATTGTTTGTAATGGCTTGTAAGCTCCTGGACGCAAAAACTTTTTCCCAAAATAAAATTGTAAACCTTGGCCTTTTACTTTACATTTGTTTTTTTGTTCAAAGTGACACTAGTTTGAAAAAAATTTGGTTACTTTAAAAAGTTTAATGATCTCCAAATACTTGGTTTCAGTAAATTTTTGTGAAAAATTCCCCTAAATTTAAATAGCTTTTTCGCTTAAAATTGTTATAGTTTGCATTAACTACCCAGGTTTCAATCTCTCCTCAAAATTCATATTTCACCAAGACCCAAAAAAAGATTTACTCTCACTCTGTGCATTCCAGGGTTAAGGTTTTGTTTTAAACTTTAGGGGCACTTTGTGGACAATATTTAGATAAAGGTAGGGAAAGTTTTTGTTGTATTTGTGAATTTAAAAAAGGATATGATGAGTGGATAGGGGCAATGGGGCAGATGTTGCCAAGGTTTTTGGAAATGGTATAAGTTACTAAAATGCTGTTTTAAAAGAATTTTTTTTTTTGGGGGGGGTTTAATGAGGGGCTCAGGGAGCAAGGGGCTAGTAAACCCCTTCTCCTGTATATATTACTAAATATGAAAGGGAAAGAAATTTTTTTTTTTTTCCCTTTTTGGGGGCCACCCCACCTGGGGGGGATACGGCTGGGTGTTTGAAAGAAAGAAAGATGAGGCTCGGGTTAGGGGTGTGGAGAGAGGGAGACATTTCCCCTGGAAAAAGTAGGTCTTAGACAGGGTTTTAAATAAAACCTTTGTTTTTTTAAATATATTTATAGATGGCATTGTAAAGAAGTAAATGCTAGGGTGTTGGGGAGGGGGGTGGGATTAAATTAGGGGGAAATTTAAATCAAATTGGGAGTTGACCAGTTACTTTTTGTGATGATACTGTGTTTAGGGGAATTCTAAAGAAAAGTTGAAAAGGTTAGTGGACGAGTTTAGGGGATGTGTAAAGTAGAAAGTTGAAAGTGACCATAGATAAGAGTAGGTGTGAGGGTTCAAATGATTTGTAAAAAAAAATTGGATATCCATTGGAGGGAGTATGGAAAAGTGGGGTTTTTTTAAATCATGTACCTCATGATAAAAAACTTATTTCTTTCCCCAGGGGGCTGTTCGAGGCTGATCCCAAAAAAATTTGTCCCCATAAGGAATAATGTAAATTGGATTAATTAAAAGGGGGGGTTTTTGAGGGGGTTTGGGTCATTTAAAGAAAATGCATCAAAGTAAAAGGGACTTGGAGAGCGTTAAACTGTGGGGGAAGGAAGGTGGGGTGGGGTCGTTCTCGAAAAGGTTGGGGAGGGGGAAAAGGAGGTTTTGGGGGGCGAGGGGCTTGGACTTCAGCAGATGTGTGAGTGTGTTAGCCTTACGGGGCCCCAGCCCCTTTCCCCCAAATTGTTCTCAGGGTCCCCAAAATTTAAAAAAAAAAAAAAAATTCTTATGAAAAGATAGAGAACTTTTTCGTCAAATGGCACAGTACCCTCCCACTTGTTCCTCCCCCCATATCCGCATAGACAAGGATGTCAGCCACAGCACCGTGTTTTCCCTTTGCAGATGACACCCGAATCTCATGACAGTGTTTTCCATTGCAGACACTACGGGGCCCCGGGGGGAATAAACCGAAATTTTCAGGGGGCTGCAAAAAAAATATAAAGTTCAAGATGAGAAATTTCAATTATCAGATTTTAAAAAAACCGAGGAATTAAAATTTTCTCAGATACAAAAAAAATTCGGGCCACAAAAAGAGCAAAAACCCCAACGTCAAAACCGGGAGGATCATTTTTGGAGGATCTCCCCTTCAGGACCAAACATTGTTCAATCGCATCTGCTAGAAAAATGACGGGATGGATAATGAGAACCTTAAAAAGGGGAGGCCAGCCCTAAATACACTTTCAGTCCTTGTTCTATCTAGGCGGGGAATATTGTGAACAACAGCACTTTCAAGGAAAGTAAAAATTGCTGACCTAAAAAATGTATAAGACCTTCATGGCCACATAAGG